AAGGGGTGAAGGAGAAAATCAGCGGCGTGTATTTGATGTGGAAGTGCTGTAACAACAGAAGAAAGGTTAGAATCAGTGTGACTAACGAGTTGTTTATTTGGCTTTTCTATCCCCCCATCCCCCTCCGAGGAGCATGAGCTGTGTTTGTTTTGGTATGTATTGATCTCAGATTCCTGCAAATGCTGTTGCTTTGTCCTTCATCTTCCCAGCAGTTTATGTCATGCCACTAATCCTGTCTCTTAGTGCTACAGGAAGAGTAAGATATGGTAGTCAGTATGCAAAGTGCCACTTTTTCTGTTTCCCGTACAACACTAGCATGTTTTTAGCCGTGTTTGAGCTTGGAGACCCCATTTGGAGGACTGAGGTCCCTGTAGAAACTCAGGCTGCACCAACGCACTGCAGGCCTGTGGTTTGCTGTTGTTGTTGCATCCAGGTGGCCAACAAAAGTATTTTTATTCTGGGGGAGTAGAGTGTCTCTCTGCAGTTTACCTATCCTTATGCTACCAGAGCTAAACTAATGGAAAACAAGGGAAAAAATTGATTTGTTTTTAGTGTTGGATTTGGCAGTATGTCCCTGTGTACATGAGACAATTTGTGATTTATTTTTTTTTTCCCCCCAGAGTTTAGTGGAAGCAGCCTCTAACTTCTTTTGAGAAGATTGACAGGGGAGACAACAGAGAATCCCTGGGTTTTGTTTGTTTGATGATAATGGTGTCGGCTGGTAAAGAGGAGGAAAAGGTCGACTTAAGTGGAATTTTGTGCTATGGACTGCTCTAAAATGTTGAAGTGTTGTCACAGATCATATAATACCTCCCCTCCACCCTCAAGCACAACCCCATTTGCTCGGGAGTTTGACCAGCCCAATGTTGAAAGAGTGGATTTTCCTGGTCTGCTGTTCAGTTTTGTCTAAGGTACACATAGTGCAGCTGAAGATCTGGGTCTGGCTCTTCAGGAAAGTGTTACTTGGAGTGTTGTAGAAGAAACAAATTTTGCATAACTGAGAAGCATCTAAAGGGTGTTTCAGTTTGCCCATAAACTCCAGGTTCTAGGATGCAGTGAGGTGCTAACAGCCCTTGGCCGCTGCAGAAGTAGGGGGGAGCAGTGACCTGGGAGTCTCACAGGAGACCCTGTGGGAGGATCTGAGCTACAGCTCAGCTTCATTAAAGCCTTGGAAATGTGGGAATGTTTTCTGCACTTACATAAACATGAAGGAAAAAAGGTATTCCCTAGGTGTTAGTGATTTAAGAGGAAGGCTGTGGCTGGGTACAGTCAGCTTTGCGTGTCCTTTCTGTTTCAGGGGTGCAGGAGGGAAGCAGAGGAGAGAGCCCAGCCCAGCCTGGGGGAGTGGCTGGGTGCTGGTGATCTGGGTGCTGGTGGTCTGGGTGCTGGTGATCTGGGTGCTGGTGATCTGGGTGCTGGTGGTCTGGGTGCTGGTGGTCTGGGTGCTGGTGGTCTGGGTGCTGGTGGTCTGGGTGCTGGTGATCTGGGTGCTGGTCTGGTGGGCGCGCTGTTGAGCTGAACACAGCCTGCCCGATCATCGCTCGGCAGGACCGAGGGGAGCCGGGGAACCGATAAGTAAATGCTGAATTTAAAGAAAGGAGATAATATAAAACTCATTTTGCGGCTGATGTTGGTGGGCAGGTGAGTTGCAGTCACAATGAAGGAGGCTTTTAAAAGGCGGATTGTCCTTATTTGCCTGACTCTTCAGCCGTACCAACTTCTGTCTATCAGCTGTAGCGCTGCAGAGAACGGTCCTGGGGAGATTCCTGTGGGTGCCCCGGCTGCCTGGGGAGCCCGGGACAACTTCTTAGCCATCGTTTTCCAGTAACAGCCCCCTTTGCCACTGCTCTTCTGCTTTTCTGTCTGCACAGATAATTGGTTTGTTTGCTTTTTTTTTTTTTTTTTTTAACATCCTAATCTCTCAGAGGTCTTTAGTAGGTAGCAGCAGATGCTTTCAAGGTTGGTTCCAAAAGTTTCTTCCCTGTTTTGGGAGAGTAAGGAGGAGGATTTCAACAACCATTCTTCTCTTGGGGGCTAAGGCCCAGTACTGCACCATAGAGCTTGGAGGAGGGTTCTTAGTAGCTCTTGCTGCTGTGCGTAACAAGAACCTGTGCTGCTGGTGGATTGGTCCCCTTTCCTCACTCTCCCTTCACCTGTTATTACCAGTTCTGGCAGTTCCTCCTTCCCTGAGCAGCTGCTCTTGGGGTGCATTGCACTGCTGCCTGTGATACCAGCTGGTCTCCTGGCTCTGCTGCTTCCATCATGGCACAGGGCAGGGACACAGCAGGCACCCTCCCTGCCAGCAAGCTGAGTGTGTCTGCCCAGGGGCATATTGTGCTTTTATTAAGCAGAGCCTGTGCTGAGTGCCACCCAAAGCACAGCCAAAACCAGCCCCTTCCCTACTCTACTGGATTAACCACAACCTTTCCAGGTCATTTGTCACCCAGTGGTAGCTGGGTTCTCACCTCCTGGGTGCTCTCTTGCTGTTCACATTCTCAGGACACAACAGAATTAACAAACAGACAAAACCATCCTCTCAAAAAAGCCCCCCCAAACCAAAGCCAAACCAAAACCAAACCAAACCAAAAACAGAAAACTGAAAGAAAAAGCCCAGCTGAACAAGCAATAAGTCATTTGTCTCAATAGTGAATTGGATTTATTTTTCCTAAATGCTGGTAGTTTCCACTGCTCAGCTCTGTTGCTTTGAGTTGTAACAGTTAATGAGAAATGGTTTGGAAACAGCTACTGTTTTAATTGGTGAAGCAATTACTGTTTAGGTTTGATGGTGGAAAATAACTGCACGTAAGGTGTTTCTCTTTCTTTTCTGGGTTTTTTCAAATTTGTAATTAGGCCTCTCCAATTATGTACTTCATAAACTTTGGAAGCAGATCTTTCAAGTAAGTTCTTGTTGCCTGGTATTCTTATGCACATAACTTTGGGTGAATAGACTCACAGGACTTAAAAGGAATATTAACGTGGGTAAAATTAGCCCAAAATACAAGTGTTTAGAGGCTGAGGACCTTTAACTGGTAGGGTTCTTTTTAATAAATAAATAAAACTGAAGCATCCAGTTTCCGTAAAGAAAAACAGATACAAGATATTTCTGGTTTCTTCTCTTGCTGCAAATTTAATATTTTTCTAATATGGCTATCAAAAAGAAATAAATGCAAAACTCATTTTTAACAAAATGGGGCTGTTCAATTAAGTTAGAAAGTCAAATCCTGCTGTATTACAGATTGCAAATAACTCACCTGCAATCAAGATTTACTCTGGAGATTCACCAAGCCTGAAACCTCATCCTTTAAATCCAGTGTTAAACAGAAAGAGAATTTGGGATTAATTTTCTTAACATCCTGTGTCATCCCACTATGACCAAGCACTGCTTGCATATCCGTACCTTGCCCCTGCCAGCAACTGTGCAGTCTCAGCAGGAGGTATAGCATACATGTGGCTTATTCTGGGAGCCAAAGCCTGTTTTCTACCCCCAGCTTTGTGAATATCAAAGGTGAGAAGATGCTGAAGGCAGAAGCAGTGATATGATGTGTTTCCACATGCCCATCGCATAATCATCTCCCACTGCTCCACACAATATGTGACAGGGAGCAGCGGCCAGCCTGGGCTTTGCAGGGTGCCAACAAACTCATTTTGCCTTCAAGTCCTGCCTCAGTGAACAAGACTGGTGGAAGCCATATGTGTTGGGGGAATGCCAAGTGTGGGCAGGTGTCAAATCAAATTGCCACCAGTTACAGTGGCACAGTGTGTAAAAACCCAGATATCTCCTTTATAATAGATTTTCATTGCACATTCATGTTAGATGTGTTAGGGATAGGAGCAGGCATGAAATGTTGTTTTAGCTCTCTGCATGAATGACCAAGGCTCAAAGGACCCCTGTGCTGTGTTTACTTGCTTCTGGTGTTAACCCAAGCCTTGGAGGGGTGCTAAGCTCCCATTCTTCCTGCAGAGTCCTTTTTGCAGCAGGAAGAATGAAAAGTTAACCCTTCTGATGGAACAGCAGAAGTTGGTGGGGCCAAGATTACATGAAAAGTATTGCTTCCTGTTCATTGCAGACTTTTCTCATGCCTAGGTATGAGGTTACATGCTTCCTTGTTATGCAGCTTTTCAGGGTAAAATTGCTTTGCAGAAGCAAAGATGTAGAAAAGCCAGCTACTGAGGTGTAGTTCCTGAGGCTCTGAAGTGGTAGAGAAAGCTGACTCAGGAGAAAACCATGGGTTGGGGTGCTTTTATTTTTTTATTTATTTATTTATTTATTAAGTAGTGCATTGATCATCACAAAAGCCTTCAGAGCTCAATGCTGGAAAACAAGTACCTGATTGTCTGCATTTGCAGGAGAAAATAGGAAAGATAAAAAAATGAAGATCCTTGTAAAATAATTTCTTAGTGTTTGGTGCAAGTAGTATTTCCATATCCCACCTTAAATATTGAGACAAGAAAAGAGTAGGTAGTTTGTATGAATAAACACAGATAAACGTGGCAGGAAAAGTTTGATGAGTATACATCTGTTACAGGCTGCTAGTGCCAGTGAAGCAGAGTTTTGCCTGCGTATCCTTGGTTGATTATTTTTCATCCATAAAAGGAAGACTTGCAAATAAAATTCTGTGTAGCAATGGAAACTGTATTAATTTTACAATTATTAACTAGTGAAAGTAGTAATTATGTAGTGTATGTTTCCCTGCAGCCCAACTCTTACATTATTACTTCTGGTTAATGAAGTATGGACCTACATTTCTTATATTTTAAAAGTAATGACAGTGATCACCCCTTGGATGACAGTGGACAGACTTGAAGAGATTTCAGTAAATTTGGGTAAAGTACTTCTCACCAGGCTGTAGTATAATTTGTAATACAGCAGTGTTTTCCTTTCTAGACATAAGCAGCAAATCAGAAAATGGTGCTAATGACAAAGCCAGAATTTGCTATTTATGATGATACAGGCATGACACAAGATGCATTGTCACATGTTCTTCTCTTGTTCATTACAGATCTGAATGCATCACAGACCCAGAGTCCCCAGACAAACATTCCAAACCAGGGATTCATCCAGCTGCCACAGGTAGATACAGAGCTGCTGAACAACCAGCCTGAGAACCTGCAGGATGCAGAATGTAGAGTCAGAGGAGAGGAAAAGATTGTTTACCTCTGATGTCTCATTTTCTACTTTCATTAGCACTTTGGAAATATAATTGTGGTTTATTTTCTAAATGTCTGTAGTTGCTGTCTGCATGACCAAATGGCTTTAAGGGTAGTATTTAATATTAAATTCAAGATTTCTCCCACAATAAATATAACAATTAAATTATTTTGAAGCCTTTGTTTTATTATCTTTAATTTATGACATGAATTCAAATACTTTGCAAGAAGCAATGGTAGCAGGGGAGATGTAACATTTTTGAATTGTAAAAGTGCAACCAAGAGCTGTGAAAGCTACTGTTAATTTTCTCTTTAGTCCTCTTTTAAAGGGGCTATTTGAAATTTCAGAGCATGGATCAGTACCTTGTAACAGTTTTGATAATATGAAAAGAAAGCAATGTAAAAATGGTGGCTATAGTCTTTGCTGAAATATGCTGTATACTCTTTTAACTATCAGGTCATTTTCCTTATCCCCTGGCTCAGGAACTGCTCAGAAGAGAACTTTTTTTATGGTCTCAACATAATTGCATAATTGTAAGTGTTTGTTCATGTCCCAAAGCTTATAATAATTTTGGTACTACTGTCAGTTTCTGTGCAGAGATGCTGTAAATCAGTTTGTTATTGTATTATAACTGTACCTCATTTCAGTAAGTGCCCTTACACATTAAAATTTACCAGCTGAAAAAATCTCACAGGTCAAAAAAACAAAAGGGGATGAAAAATAGTAGGCTTTTAGATAACTGAACCATTCTGAAACCTCACTGCTTTCCCACGTAGGAGCTAGCTTCCTGATACCAGGTGCACAGCATCAACAGTGCATTAGGCAGTAAGAAATCAGGACTTATTTCTTGCCTTTTTGTCTTTCAGAATATTTGTACACTTCTGTTGTATTGAATAAATGTTCTATGCATTTCTGAAAAGGTGTAATTTTGATTCATTGTGAGGCCCTCTAAAGAAAAAAAAACAGAAGGAAAAAAAAGAAAATATCTTTACCTGGTTTGCAAGGTCTTGCCTATTCAAGCAGGCATGGACAGTCCTCTGGACTGAACAGGTGCTGCTGAGAGTGGTTGACAAGGACCAGCAGCAGTACAGCAGGGATGGAGCTGCACAGCTCCAGCATCAGAGCTGCCTCACATCTGCCCACCCTGTGGGAAAGGAGAGCACAGGAATTCCCCTGCCTGTTTGTACGGGGTCCCAAGCCTCATATGATTTCCATTTTACCCTAAGACTTGTGTTGTGCAAAATCTCTTGCAGGGGGCAGTGATTCAGATAGTAGAAAAGATGTCAGAAAGGATTTCCTGACATGGAGGATTCTCCTCCAGGGACTGGTGGGCTATTGGGAATATTCAAAAGCAGAGCTTTCTGGGCTACCAGACTGGCTGCTCTGTTGGTATCTTCCGCCAACATCTGAGCAACTGACTGTCTTGATGATCAGGACTTGATTTCCAGCTGGTATTAGTTGGTGTGTCAATGTTATGAGGGAAATACTGGGCCTGCAGATGTGTTTTCCAGTTTCTATTTCCAGCCTTTAAGACTCCTACTAACCTGACAGCACTTCTTCGTATGTCTCCTTATATGAGAAAAAACCTTTCTAGGATTTCTGGAAATGTTTTACCTTCTGTACGTTTCACAGTTAGACTGAAATTGAAATGGGAATCCAACCTCTCTTAAGGGTCCTACAGTATAAGGACAGTCCACAGTCTCTTTATTTTACCAGTCAGCAGTGAATTCAGGGTTGCTATCTGGACAGCTTTTTGGCAAATTTCTGAATAGACAGACCAATTTTGTGGGATGCAGTATGTCCCAGGATATGCACATTGCCCATGGACCAGGAGGAAATTGGGAAAAACTGAGTAGCTTTCTCCACAATTGCTCTCTCTGCATTTTATTATGCCTTTGCTGGAACATCTGGTACTGGTTATTGTCAAAACCAAGCTGCTGGATGGATAGCTGCTGTCCCAGCCTGGTGTGGGAATTCCCATGTAAGCAGCTTGCCACTGGAAGAGGAAGGGAGGATACTGCTTTTCTCATCAGTTTTAATTGAGGGACTGGGAGTCTAGAAGCAGCTTGCCGGCACTTCAGCTGTTGCGCAAATTCCTCAGGCCCCCTAATATCAGGCAGCATCTTATTTTGCTCACCTGTGTTTACAGTAAAACTTCTGGCATTCAAGGAAGGCTAAGGCAGGAAACAGGTGGCCTCTGGATTTAGGTATTTTAATTGTAGAAAATGTTTAAACTAGAGGCCAGTATGGTCTCAGCAGGTGCTCTTTACAGTAAGACATATTATGCACCCCTGAACTCTGTCGATTACTGAGGCATTTCTTAATACATGGAAGAACATAAATGCAGCCCCAGTGAGACTCAGCCATTTTAGCAGGCTGCATTTTGTGTCATTGTCATGCATAAATTAATGATTATCTTTCTTCTTTTTAATTAGAAAAATATATTCAGAAGTTCTTCCTTTCACCTTTATTACATTATTTTGAAGGGGGCTTATTTACAAGGCCTGTTCCTTTTGTTTTTAACTCATCCTATATATTGTGTTTTCCTTTTGCCATGCTTCTCAAAGCATTTTGCCTCTAAAAGCTTAAAATCAAATTTAGTCATTCATGTCAGTGTTTAAATTAAAAGAGCAGTTGCTGTACCACAAATCTCCATTGCACTGGGCTGCATTTTCTCTTTGTTTTTTATTTTTTAAACTTTGTTCCATCATCTAAGAAAGGGGGAGTTTCTATGCTGTAATTCCTAGACTTTGTCCAGGATTTTCCCCTTAATGTTGTTGTAACATAGCAAAGCTGTCATATGTAACAGCTTTGAGAGGTTTTAAAAGGAAACTCACAACTAAGATTTTTTTTCCAGCAGATCTATGAAAACTGTGAAGAAGGAATTTCTGAAGGGTTCAAGGTTTGTGTGCTGGATCCAGAACCTTGGATTTATGCATTCAGTCATGTACAGAATAAGACCAGAATAGAACAAATGCTTCACTTGGCTGTTTTTTGAGTATTCAGGTAAAAAATGTATTTAGCTGCATTTTAAAGAGATTTTTCCGAAAGCTCATCCAGGTAATTTTTAAATTACTAAATTAGATAGAGATCAAGCTTCCAGCAAAACTCCCTGACGATTGTTTACTGAAGTGATAAAAAGAAAAAATATATAATAAAAAATCTGTTAATGTTTGCTATGGAAAGAATATGAATAATTGTCCTGTGGGTTGCATTCATTTATATGCCACCCATTTTGGTTGAAAAATGAGTACAATTTTTCACTGTTTTTTAATCAAGTAGGTGCAAATTCTGTACTAAATGTGCCATTAATGCTAAAATGAGTCTTGGTGTTGTTCATTCAGAGAAAAGCAAGGAGACCCTACTGTAGTAAGTAGCCTGTACAACTTGCTGTAGCTGAATTTTGAGAGTGAAGGAGGAGTTGCAGATGAGGCAGTTTCCTTGACAAATGGGGAAATAGCATGACTACTTGGACGCCTTCTAATGAATTTTCTGTATTAAAATAATTCCAATCCCAAGACCTTCTTATCCAAAGGCGAACTGTGCCCAGTTTGTATTAGAGAGGTAGAAACAGCATAGTTTGTAGGGTATCAGCATACTATAACATGTCTATACTATAACAGGTTGGATGTCTGCTCTTTCTTATGGAATTGCAGTCACACTGTGACTTATTTTTGCCAAGGTAAATGGACATGTTTTTTGTTTTATCACCCCTATTACAAATCTGGATGTAGAAGCACTGAAGAAGTAGCTGTGAATATTCTTGGTAATCTTAGTCATATGGGCAGCTACATGTTAATCTCCAAAAAGGTTCTCCTGTCTCATTCACTGCCAGCTTCTGAGATAAGGCTGTGAGGATGGCCTGAATTCAATGGCTTGAATTTTGCAGGCTGATGTGAAACCAGAGTGTTTAATTTCTTTAGTATAAAGGAAAAACTGCAAAGGATAGTCTTGCTGACATTGATCTAAAGAGTTCTCATTAATACAGACCTTTGCTCTATAGTAGTGCATCAGACAATAGACTACTAGGCCTCTTAGTCTTGTATCAGGAGATCACCAAAGACTAAGAGGACTGTGGAACAAGCTGCAACTGTTTTATGGGCATTGAAGGTGAAATGGTCCAGAGAAGTAATCTGGGAAAGTCAGTGTTTTTCACTGGCATGCATAGCAATGTTGGTAGCAGCTCTCTCAAGGTCAGTAGCTGACTTGAATTCCCAGACAGCTGTTTCCTATCCTGGAAATCAGTTATGTACAAGTTTTTTCCTTTCTCCTTGCTTGCTCATTCTCAGATAAGGATGTTTCCACCCTTTACATGCAAGGACTCTGACACGGGGAGGTCTGCAGCACCCACCAGATTCTGAGGCTGGGTCTTCAAATGCCTGGGGTGGAGATCAGGAGGAGAAAAAGAAACATTAAAACAGGAACCCTGCAAATAGAGAAGGCAGGAATAATTTCTTTTAACTAGCAACAGTCTGTTCTAACTAAGACTGATAAGAACAGAATGGTTTTCTAACTGCTGGATCTTCAAGGTCCCACCTTCACTCTGCCGGCTCAGACACTACGGGGAGATCTATGACCCCCCCGTAGGAGGCTGAATTAGGCTGACAGCAAAACTATCTGTTTTGCTGGCAAGAGATATTCCATTCCATATATCTATGTAAGCTCAGAGGAAGGTCAGAGATCACAGAAGACAACTTCCTTCCTGCTTCTTCTTCCCTTCTCTTCCGTCCTTGGCTGGTGTCCAGGGAGGACGCCGTCCATCCATCACCGTCGACCCCCAGGCTCGAGCTCTCCTGACCTTCATCACTCTGTGCTCTCTCCAGCAGCTCTGGGATTTTTGGGGACTGTTTGCAGCTCAGGAGATGCTGTGGGAGTTGCTGGGGGTAGGGGGAGGTGAGAGGCTTTTGCACATTCCCTAAATGTATTTGTATATAATTGTGTATATATTTTCTTATATAATTAGTGTTTAATTAAAGCTGTGTAGTTTAATTTTCAATCCAGCCAAGTCTCTC